ACATTCTGATTTTTTATAAAGTTAACAGTAACAAAAATGAGGATAATACAGGAACAGAAAATTAAAGATTGTTCTATAACAATAATGATTAAGAATAAAAAACTCATTGTCTACTGGAATATTCTTGCCTGATATAAATAACACTTTATACATTATGTTAGTGGCATGGCATATAATTGTTTGAAAATAGTAAATTTTCTAATTCTACAAAATGGTCTAGGATTCTAAACAGGTTTGGTTTACTAAAACATTAATAACAAAAATATGATAGATAAAACTAAGATTCTTAGAAAATGAGATATAAGTAAATGAGGTAATACAAAAACAAATAAACATTTGTTTCTGTAAAATGAGAGATGTTAATGTATATTGTAAATCCAATGTCTTTAAAGAAATGTGTTTGTTTTGAATTTTTGTATTTGTGCTAACAAACCACATGACAAATAAAAGAAAAAATACTTTTAAAAGAAAATGGCAAGAAAGTGCTACTTATAATTTTCTGTTTGTATACTAATATTTACATTGATTATATGCGAAACTTTATCCCTATGAATTGCAATGTTTCTGTATCTATAGCACTTCATTTATAAATTGTTGGCAATACAGTAGCAGTGAAAGAGAGTAGAACTTGGTAGGTATATAAGAATGAGGGATAAGCACTATAATAAATCTTAGCCTGGAACATCACAACTTATTACAGTAGTAGCTTCAATGAGATAAAGATTAGTACTGACAAAGTATAAATAGACACAAATACCTGTATGTGTATGTGTGTTTACAAGGATGAACATAGAAAAATCAATTTTTGCAGTAGAGTGGTTTGGAGTAAAAGTGCATGTCTGAAGAAAACAGGACAAGGAAGTGAGTGTGAAGTGGGGGTGTCAAAGTAATGAACAGCTGACCTGTACATTGCAAACTGGAAAACAATCGATTGAGGAAGCAAAGGTTTAACGGATCCACTTCATTCTTGGTTGGAAAATAACCAAGTGGTCCAACATATTTCTAATGTATTGTGAAGTTTTTGTTTTTAAAGACATACAAAAGGAAGGGAAGTGCTTATATAAGCATAAGCCACTTATATTTAATAGAATATGGATTTGGAGTAAAAGCATTAAAAGAATAAATAAATGCAGATAAGCAAAACTAGATGATCTTGTTCATACCTTTTTTAAAAAAAGAAAATTCCAAGGAGACAATACAAGCTTCTGATAGAACAAGGATATAAAGAAAAATCATTTGCATTAATAAAAATGGATTCTTTTAAAGAAGACTACTGTCCAAAGGCTTTGTAGAGTTGATGTAGTAAGAATCAAAGTACACATGCCATGAATGATCTGATGATTGGTGTTTGCCTGGCATTGTTGGAAATTGTGCAGAGGTCAGATTGACATAATAGCCTTAAAAGTTCTACAGATCTTAAAATGCCTCAAGTTAAAATTCTGACAATATAATGCTAATGAACTTAGTTTTTGATAGATAAGGAAATAGTAGAATTGATAGGCAGCAGAAGCTTGTAAAATGAGATGCCTACAAGAAAATTGTTTCATTTAGAATCCAATGACACATATCTACCTGCTGCTTGACTGCATTTATTATCAAAATTCACTAATTATAAAAGTTTGTTCTAAATCTCATTTTGCTTAACTAGATGAAGATGACTTTCTATATTAATGTTCTTTAAATTTCAATTGTTCTTTTTGAAAATTCTGAACTGATTGTGTATTTATCTGAATTTAAAAACATGAGTGAATTACATTCATTCACGTAAAGCAAATCTGGCAATTTTTTTTTTAATATATAAACATTATGTAAATATCAATTTCTTCACTAAATTACTTACAAGTTTTGTAAATTGATATCATGTTGATGCATAATTCATTATAAATAAGGTTTTGTTGAAAAGAATTCTTTATGCCTGCACCATAGAGAAAAGTAAATTTTTAAGAGTAGGATAAGTTAGTTATTCTAGCTTCAAATAAAAATTACTATAAGTACTCTAGTCCTCTATTTACTATTTTTACAAGCTAAGGAAACTAAAATTGAAGTGTGTATTTTAAACTATTAGTATTATTGATGATATCACTCAGAATAAATGTATTTTCTACATAGAATCATGACTAAGTGTTTCCCTGTGCAGCAATATCTAGCAAATTAATGTGGCAGACCATTATTAATTGTAGTAAGTCAATCCTCATTGGGTGCCTCAGTTAGGGCTTTGTGTCAGATGAAGTTAGACTTAGCATCAGTATAATCATAGCTAAACAGTTTTTTTGTGGAACTCGCAGTTTCTTGCTTTCCAGTCAATTTTGATTTTCAAATATTTAAATACAATGTAAATTGTTATTTTCTGTCAGAACAGGAATTAAAATATTTCTGTTCTCTCTCTCAATGTTTTCTCATATGCTCTCACTTGCAATCTAGTGGTTTTATTGTCTTGCTTGAAGTGAAATGATTGAAAAAACAAAAAAAAAAGAGGAAAACAAAAAAAACAAACAAAAAAACAAAAAAAACAAAACAAACAAACAAAACTATAATTAATTGATGTATGGAATGGGGTTAATTTCAGAAGATTAATGTAAGAAGTCTGGTGGCCAATTTAAGTAATTTGAATGTTATAAACCAATCTTGAAATTTTGAACCCAACCTTGAAACAGGAAAATAAAATTTTAAGAGAAATAGGAATTGGTGAAATACTGAAAGTCAAATGTATGATAACATAAGGTAGTTGACTTGTGGCTGATAGGAGAAAAATATTTGATGGATCTATCTATTGGACAGAGTGTATATTTGCTGATATTAAATAAAGGGAACTTTTGCATCAGAAATTGATGTTTACTAGTTATGTAGAACTAGAAATAAAATGGGTTGTATTTGGCGAGCACATTTGGACTTAGGGAAATTTAAATATCTTTGGATATTAAAGTAGATGGATAGATCCAAATAGATACTTCATTGTGCAAGCAAGATTAATTACTCTTTATTTAAAAATAATTTCTCTTTGACTAGAGGGATAAGACAGTATCTCATGAAAAATGTTGATGTAAGGCTGTTATAAAATAAATAATTCAGACATTCACATTATATTTGCCAAAAACAATTTGCTGAAGATTTACCTGGCTAGATTGTGAGAGAAAGGTAGGCCAATGAGACTGCAAAGTAGCAAGGCTGGACAGAGATTGATCAGCCAAATTTAGAAGAGTGAGAGAAGTGACTGGGACTTACAAATCATTAACCAGTTATTATAAGCACAAAATCTTTTGAAATAGCTGTGAAACTGAATTTCAAATATATAAATGCAAGAATATTTAAGATTCTAGGCTATGAAAATTTATATATTTGTAAAGTTTTTTTTTTGTTTTTTTTTTTACTTCCATCTTGAAAGTAACATTAGATTTATTACAAAATGAAAAAAAATGACATTATTTCTATTGTTAACCTTTGGAATTCATAGATTATACAACCTGTATCAATAAAAAAATATGAACATTTAAAAAGAAATCTCATTAATTTATTGTTATTTAAATTATATTTGATGGTTTTTATACAATTTTCTATTGATGCTAACCATTTTTATTATCTTTTTAAGATCTTTAAATTCCTGGTTTTCTTATAATAAAGTTAGCAAGTCTGAACCCAAGTGAACAAAATAGACTAATATAACAAAAGTAACAGCAGAAAACAGTATTTTCTGAAAAGCTTAATACAAGTGAATATTTTTAAATTTTTTATCATATACAAAATAAAATTTTGTTTTGTATAATAAAAGCATTAGCATCAGAAAGAAAAGTAGAAATTTCACAGTTAATTTTTTTTTCTGGTGAAACAAAGTGTGGGAATAAATGCAGAAATAAGTACACAAATATTCATACAAAATAATATTAATCAGAAATTTTATGATCTGTTTTTAATTGAAGACTTAAAAAGGAAATTGATCAGAATTGTCAGTTTATTTTGAAGATAAAAAACAAAACTCTGAAAAGATTACTAGATAATGACAATAAGAGGTTTAGAATATTTGGCCACATATAACATTTTCTTTGATTACTTATAAAAAGAGAAAAATACATTGAACTGTTCAATACTTAACATTAAAACAAGAAACTGGAAAAAATGTAATCTTTTAGACCATTAAACCATAAACATTAGACCATTAAACATTACATATATTGTGATTAGTTTTGTGACTAAATATTGAAAAATATTAAAATAAATAAGAGCAAAATAAAATCATACTTAAATGTTTTGGGAAAAGAAACTAAAAAGAAATAATCTTATTGGTCACATTCTTTGCAGTTTTCAAATAAAATCCTAGTTATTTTAAGACTTAAATTTCAACATTTAAAAATACACAGTGAATAGCGTGTCTCAAATGATATTTAGAGTATCAACAATTATTGATCAAGAGATAAAATTATCATTTGAAAGAAACCAAAAGATTCAATGTACACCAGAATAAACCTAAACAAAATTGGCTAAAGAAACTTAACTGAAAAGTTATGATCTGAATAAACATTTTTTAGAATATCTTAGTCAAATTCAAAATGTGTTTTATATAAAATGAAAAACAAGAGTAACATTATAACAATTCAAATTTTATACATATCTAACACATCCTGTATAATTTTAATTTGTATTTTTTTAGTATGTAAATTACACATCTGAAGATATATCTATTAAATAAAATGAATATATAAAAGATTTCATGGAGTAGACAATATAAAAATAAAATACAATTAGAAAAGCATCAAATATTTTGCCCGAGTTAAATAAGTAAATGGGATGATATATTGTAACAGTTAAAAAAAGAAATACAGCTGGATCACACTTCTATAAAAGAAACAAAAATAAAATGTTATTCAAATTTAATTTTTCAGAAATGTTTTTATTTCATCATACTTGACCTCTTATAAAAGATAACACTGAAAATTATTAAAACAATTGCTGTAAGATTAAATGTAATAAATAGTATTGTATTAATAATTCAATCAAATAAAATGTACCTGTTGTTGGCCTGCTTGTGTTTTAGCTTTTCGTAGTCGATTTTTGCATGCATCCAAGTCCAGACGTTTATTCTCCAAGATTTTCTTCTCTTTCTGTAATTAAAAACAGAAGACTAGAGTTGAAAATAAGTATTGATACCATACTTCTGTTTACTATAACCAAGTCTAAAAGAAAAGAGTAGTAAAAATGTTATCAAGAACAAGTGGTTTACAGTTAAAATCAGGATCTTACAAATCAATATTTTTGTGTTTTTAAAGATTAGGAGACTATAAATTTTGGAAAAGATATTTGAAAAATTTAAATTACATGCCCTAAAACATGAAATTTCAACTTTTTGAATATACAATGAATTAAATTCATGAATTTGTGTATTTTAGAGAGAAAATACTTTAGATAAGGATGGTGAAGCTCAGACTATTGCTTCAGATATCTCAAATGCTTTTTAACTAAAAATGAAACTGCTCTCTATTAAATCATCATAGAGAACCTTTTTTGAGTTCTATCAGCATGGCTTATGCTAACCTCCAGGAAAGCAACTTCTCAGTTATGTGTTTCATGGTCATGAAATGGAACCATTATATTGAATCAACTGCTTAGTCTGCTGCCATTGGTTCATTATGTGGTGCTAGACAATTTTTCTCGACAGAATCTATCTTGCATATTTATAAGTCCACCATTCATTTCATTAATGAATATTGCTGCCACATCTGGCTTCTGTTATATACAAGGAACATTCAAAAAGTATCTGAACTCTGGGCATAAATAAATTTTGTACATTTTATAAATTTTATTTAATCTAAATTGGTACCAAAGAGGAAAGTGTACCAGAACAATCACTGAAAATATTTATAGAAAAAGCACAGGGAGGTTACATTACAGCAAATGGAAAGCCACTGAAGCTGGGATACCAGATCAGGACCATTAAAGTTGCAGATTCTTTGAATTTTGTCAAGAATCTCTAAACTATTTTTTCTGGCAAAACTAATGCTGCATGGGTAAAATCTTTTGGGTAAGAGATGCATATGTGCAAAAGTTTTTGTGTTGGTAGGCCATGTCAGTTCCCAGCAGTTACACCTAGAGTACAGATGTGCAGTTCAATGTTCACTGGATTTTTGTTTTCACACAAGATGACCAAACAAATCAAGCAGAGATATTGCATCAAGTTTTGCCAAAAGCTTGGTGATACTCAAGCCTGAATCATCCAGAAGATTCAGCATTCCTCAAGGTGTGGTACAACTGCTTCAAACATGGTCACACTTCAGTACAAAAGCAAGGTACGCACAGGAAGGCCATCCACAAGCTGAAATGAGGAGCCAATTGAGAAGGTTTGGCAAATAGTTATAGAAAGCTGTCCTGTAACAATCTAGGTAATTGTTCCTGAAGTTAAAATAAAAACAGGATCAGTGCATTCCATTTTAACAGAAGATTTGTACATGTGTAGAGTGTCGGCAAAATCCATCAACTCATTCCAAGCTTTCCTAGTCATTTTAGTAAAATGATTTCAAATTCCAAGGGAAAAATATATGACAAGAAACAAAATTGCCTATAAAGAAAACAGCAAAAATAATTAGGTACCAAAATTTGAAGGCTTAAGATTTTTTAATTTATTTTAAATGCAATCTTTACTTTTAAATTATTTTTGATCTTAAATATTTTACTTCACTTTAACTTGCATTACTCTAAGTTCTTATGACTTAAGATGAAATCTTCATAAACATTTCATACACAATGTCAAAAGTCAACCAGTTCAGGTAAAAATTTCAACTGTCTAAAATACTTGTTGAATGATAATGGCTATGCCACTCAATATTTTTACTCATTTCATATCAGTGAATTTAAAATATATACACACACACATACACAATTGAATCCTGTGACCCATATAGATAATACAAGAAAAATAGACAATTATTTCTTTGTTTGTCTTCCTATCTTAATGTCACTATAAGCAATGTCTTAGCAGGAACTCTCCATTGTACATTTCTCCTTCAAACCAACTCAACTCACAATTTATTTAATTAAATTACAGATTCATATGTATATAAATTAAAATGTATTAAGTTCTGACTAGGGATTTTTCTATGATAGACTAGCAGAGTTGTAAAATTTTTTACAACAGAACACTATCAAGAATTATACTGCAAAGAACATCAAACTACTTGATAATTTTCAAATCAAGAAAATTATAAAGTGTATCAATTATACTTAATTGTAATTGTTTTGGCTTTGTTTTTTTCTACAAAATGTAATATAGTCACATGCCAATTAAATATAGTAAACATGCATGATTAGAGCCATGAGATGTTTTTTCCTCCTTGTTTTCTTTGGAAATATGTTCTGAAAACCCATCTTAGATCTTTCAAAGATTATAAATACTCTAGTTTAAAAATATTTAAGAGAATAATGTAAAAAAATAAATAATTTAAATCTCCAAATGAATTAAAATGAGAGAAAATAACAATGCCCACCTGGATGGTTCTCATGTCACCTTCAAGGAAGTTCTTCAATGGCTGCAGGAAATTATTGCAAGCAGATTGCACAAATTCCTTCTCAGCATTACCAATTTGCATTTGGGTTTGGCCACATTTAATTAGAGAATTTCCTGAAATTTAAGAGTAAAGTAAAAATCAAATTAGCAATAATATTTGAATAAAAAGTCAACAGAAATTAAAAAGATCTGAAGTTAGTGAAATATAAATCAACAGCAGTGAGATTAATAATAAGACATTCTGTATTTATTATAAAAAAAAAAGAAAAACTTATCAGTCTTACCATAAAGCCAATGCATCTTATGATGTTTACAATAGTAAATAATATTGGAAATGTTTTCTCTTCAGAGCTTTTCACTTTTTGTTAGTAATTTTTAATGATTTTAGTTTCTTTTTGTATAAGTAATTTATTTTGTATAATCTAGCTGAATGAGTGTGGACTGAGAACTTAGTAATAATATACAGCCTTATGACCATAAGACAAAACTGGTGAGTAAAAATACTTTAAATTTATTCATTTTTGATTTCAAGCTAGTATATAGAACCCCTTTATAAAGTTTGGTATTTGTAAAATTTATAACTATGCATTATTGCAAACAATGAAATATGGATTTTTACAAATAAATGATAACATTTTGTACTGGCTTGAAATGTGTCATCAGATACCAATTTGACAAGTTGGAAAAAGAAAAACAACCCTCAGATCTTTTAATCTTAAACTATAGAAATGCATACAAAATTTATAAAGAATCACAATAACAGTATATAATTGGATTTACAAAGACTATATTCACAAGTTATGTATGTTATGTTACGAATATGTATGTTAGTCTTATTAAAATTGTTGCCAACATTAAATAGAAGGCAGAGAGAGGAAAGCATTAATAATAAAGAATTATTTGATGTACATCAATACAAATAAAAGATCAGAAAATTGGTTGGTATTGTGGCAATATTTAAGTCATGCACATGTACTAAAATAGATCTTTAACAGTTGTACAAAGCAAATAAAAATATTTATAAAGCATGTATTCTTCATGCTGTTATTTAAATATTTTTTTTTAATCAACAAATGATAGGATTTGGTACAATGTATTATTTGAATGATAATCAACACAAATGTTTAGATTTCCAATAAAGAAAACAATCCCTTAGAATTTCTTGTTTAACAACTTGTTCTTTTTTTTTGTTTTTTTTTTTTTGCACCATGCTGTTTCCTTCTACAATGTAATTTTGTAGGAGCAAAATAGTGAAGGATATTCAAGCAACATAATAAAGACAACAAAAATCAAGTCAATTCTGGAAAAAAAGAAGATATTGAAATTAGAATTACAGTCTTAAGTCTGAAGAACTGTCCACTTCTATAATGCCTTAAGGTAATTTGTTGAAATTCTATGAAACTTATAATACTTGTAAATATGATTATATAAGAGAAGTGAAATTCTCATTAGAAAAACCTATGAATTTGTGGACATAGCATAATTGTTCAAGCATAGACTGAGAAGCTGAAGTTGAATCACTAATGCTGAGTAAGTAATATTTTTGCTAAATGTTTTCCTGTACAACAAAAACTAAAATGGATTTCTTTCTGATTATTAGTCAGTTCTGTAACCAGGAAATTCACATGGTATAAATCCTTTTCATAAAATATCAATATTTTATGGTACTTAATCAGACACAGATATACATATCCTTACATGGTTACAATTTCCAGTGTTCAACCAAAATGGTAAAGTTCAAATTCAAAGAAGCCAAATTGTGAAATACTTGAAATTAAGAACAACTGCTCAAGAACGAGAAGGTATTTGTGTGCATCTGAAGTTCAGTCTTTGACTGCAGAAAAATACGAAATTGAAAACTAAATTTGATCTGAACAATTTAGAGTTGCTCCATAAGTGGATAAAAACTGAAAAAAAATTCAATTGCTGACAAAAATAATAAAGGATATTATTTGAAATTCAATATATTGCAAGATCCAATGATTTCTGTTCTTTAATTAATAATGAGTTCCAGTTTTTAAAGTACTCTTTACATATTAATATAGATGAGGCAAAGGAAATAAAGAATATTTGTGAAAACCAGGAAATAAATCTTGGGTATACATCCTTAAAATATACCCTAAATTTTATGAAAATCTAAGATTGTAAACAAAGAATCAATATCAGAACAAATCTAGTTATACGAGTCACAGTTTTGTAGCAATCAATCTTTTCATAAAGTTGAATAAAAAGAAATAATTATACTTGGAAATATTTGGGTATTAAAAATAAAGAACAAAATGACAAGAAATTATAATAGATGACAATCTTAAATGAATTTGTAAATTACCATTTTTGTGGTAGGCCTTAGCAAAATAAAAACCTGGTTCAAACCAAGTATCTTGGTTGGTAATACTTATTACAAACATTGTGGGAAAATAAAATAGAATTCAAGAGAAAAATTATCGCTTAAGGGAATAGTGCTGTAAGGATAAATTCTAAACAGTTACAAATATAAACTAAAATTAGACCAGAATTGCAAAGTAGTTTTACATGTTTTAAAAGGAAAAAGTCAAATCTATTATGCTAAAATTCATGATAAACAATTACTTAAGAGTAGAGAATTTAGAATAATTTATTATTCTAGTACAAAGGAAAAATACAAAACTGTTTAATCAAATTGATCTATTTGGTATGGTTTTGTTTGAGCTGAGGTCACAACAACAAATCAATCTAAGACACTGTCATGGTATGAATGCATTTGATTAAATAATGAAACCCACATTATTGCAACAAAAGTAGAGGTGTATGAGACAAGAACATAAATGTTTTTTCTTTTTTTTTACTTTTTAGAGGGATTGTAGCTGAAAATGACAGTTTACAAACTAGCATTGATATTTTGAATATCTAATAGGATCTAAGCAAAGACAAAAGGAATGATCTTATGTAGGCTTCTAGAGTTGAAGGAAAAACAATCTTTTTTGGATTAGGAAGTATTTTGAAGATGTATTTGCTTGTTTACATTTTCACTGTTTTCTGCATGTCACAAGCAAGTGAATTATAACATAGCTGAAACAAAAAAAAAACAAAAAAAATAAAAACAAATTAAATATAAATAAGGTAAAAAATAAAATAGAAAAATAAAAAAAACATGCTATTTTTCTGTTAAGTCATTGACTATTTAACTATTATAACAGTTAATAGTCCAAAATGTTAATACGACCAAACATATCACTCCAAGTACAAAATAACAAGTTTGGAGTCGATTAGTCTACCTACAAAAACTAAACAAAATTCATACTTAATTTTTATAAAAAATCATTTTGTTCAACTACAAAATGAAAAATGTAAGCTCCAGCTACAGCATAGTCCATTTCTACTAATAAACTTTGCCATAATAATTACTTTATCTTGATAAAAAAAGATAAATAGGAATGTGCAAAAAGGTACAAATTGCATGTACACTTAAAAATTGCTTTCAGCTCATGTTTAATATTTGTAAAACTTATTATGAATTTATTTATAATTTATGCCTGTATAGATGTTTTATTTTTTGTGAGAGATACAAACATAACCCTTTTATTAGATAACTATGGTTTAGGCTTTATTTATAGTGAATATTAGATTAATGCTGCTGACACTGCTGTTACTTGTCATGCTTGACTGAATTAACTGAGCAGAAACAGTATGAACAGTACTAAAAATGTCCCTAGACATGGACATCAGAACAAGAACCTACCCCTGTAGAGTAAATAAAGAGTTCAGTTTGAAATTCCCTGGAGGCTATCTGGATTTACAAGCATCTGAAGAAGGCCAGAAAGCACAATGGCCAAAATATGATAATAATGAGGACATTAGTTTGAATGTAAATAACTCCTCATCTCAGAAATTCAGACAGAAAAATGAGTAAAGAATCAAATGAACATAGAAAATAAATAAAAACTTCATAGAACTTTAACACCCCCCCCAAAAAAAAACAGAAACAGATTTTAATTTTTTTTCTTTTATTGATGATTCATCTAAGTGTCATACCTTTTATAACCAAGTGATCTTAAACAGTAATAATAATCACCAAACTTACATGAATATTTGAAATTAATCAGTTAATTAGTTTTAACACAAGTTTGAGTATGGCAGAATGGGTTCTTGCTAGATTGATTAGAACAAAGACATCCACGTAGTCAAGGAGTGTAAATGATTTTATCTGAACCTGGGATGATTGTCATAAAATTTCCAATCAACTGAGTCACCAGTAAGATGAGGATGTGAGTTTCAAAGCAACAATTCAGAAGTATGGAAAAAAGAAAAAAAATAATATAAATAAATGAGTAAATAAAATTTCAGTCTTTGGCATCAACATAATATTTCAAGACAGCTATATTTTAAACTTTTCTCTATATGATATCTTACCCTCAATTTCTTTGCTGAAGTGTACACTGGGCTTTTCCTATTTTTGTTCACACTAACACAGATAGGAATTAACCATGGCATAGGGCAGAAGCTAACCAACAAGTAAAAGACTGTCTTAGGGACCCGGTCATATTTTTACATGAGTATACTACCAGGTATTTCAGAATTTAATAGAAGTTATACAAAGTATACCATTCATAAGTTTGAACTTACATTAACCATCATATTGATCTAACTGATTAAACAATCAAGCAAACTTGGAAATGAATAAAAACACTGAAAAAGATTCAATTTGAATAGACTTCAAATGAAAGATTCTTTCTGAGGTTTTAAGAATGTATTTAGAGACTACAAAGCAATTGCTACGGTTTATATAATTTTATTATATTTGATGGTATATGTAAGATTAAAGTTTTAAAACATCAGGATTGTAGATAATTGCTAACTGAAATACTTTCAATTAATATCCATAATTGCAGTAACAGATATCAAAGCATTCTTAATATCAAATTTGGATTGAATATATTGATCTAGTCATGCCCCCAAAATACCTAAATAATATTGTTGATATAATAATATAAAATCAATCCTTCACAAATACCACTACTATTATTATCATAAATTATAATAATAATGATGATAATAATAGAAGAAAAGACCAAAATAGGATTTCAATTTGTACAGTTTCAAAATCCAATCAAAATTATCCTTATAAAAGAGGAGGG